GATGACAGGGTTTGCAGAGTCTGAGGAAGTGTGTGTGTGAGTGTGTGTGTGTGTGTGTGTGTGTGTGTAACTGACTGGAGAGATTCTAGCATGTTTATAAATGCAAAGAAAGGAGCTTTGGGATGGTGATTCAGGGGTAAAAGACAGGACTGAAGGAGCCAGAACCCTAGGAGGCTGCAGGGAGTGGGATCCAGAGAGCTGCCTTATTGATGTTCTGAGCAATGGCACCATCGCTGGAATGAAGGCCAACAGGGCTAAATGGAGGTACATTTGTTAAAAATATCAATCATATCACTTTATAGTCACATCTCACTCTGTGATTTTTTTCCACCTTCCATGGAATTGTACAATTATTAGTTTTCTGGGCTTTATGGATTAATGACTTCAAATGAGAAAATATTTGGCTCTTAAAATGGAATATTCTTTTGTTTGATGATTAGGATGGGCAAATGATCAGCTAAGAGATGAATCAGGATGATGAATTATAATTATTGAATTAATTTCAATATGTAATACAAACACATCTTGATTCATCTCTGCTGTCACATTACGATTCAAAGGGCAAAATGGTCATTGGTGAGCATTCCTGAGGTGACATGTTCCTTCAAAAGTGAAGGGTTCTTCAAACACTCATTTGTTTAGCAAATAGTTATGGAGCGTTCGCTGTGTCGCAGGCATTGTGTTTTAGGCATTGCAGATGAGGCTGGAAAGAAGGCAGCTTCAGTCCCTCTTCTCATCTTGCTCACAATTCAGTAGAAGCTGCAAGGAAGCAAACAGGCCATTACAGTAGTACAATGAGTTCTAGGATGGGGGACACGGAGGGACAGTGGCATTGGGAGGGTGCAGAAAAGCCACCCAAAGGACACCAGCTATGGAAGTGGCTGGTAGTGATGAAATGGGTTGGGAAGGTGTTTTCAATGAATCGTTGGGGGTGGGAGCAAAGGCCTGAAGAATGGCAGCATGTCTGCCAAGAAGGTACGCTGGGGTGGTGAGGAGGGCAAGTAGCAACAAGAAGATGCTACTAGCAGTAGGAGGAAGAGTATGCTTGGGGAATTTGTGGGGTTTTTTGTTTTTGCTTTTTCAGAGTATTACAAATGGGTACAAATGTTTTGGTTATATGAATTGCTTTTGCACAGTTTGAGTCAAAGTTATAAGTGTGCCCATCACCCAGATAGTGTGCATTGTACCCGTTAGGAGTGAATTTACCCATCCCCTCCTACCCCCTCCCACGTGCTTGATTTCCATTTAATTTTACTATCTTATGTGCACATGAGTGTTGATCAATTAGTTTCAATTTAATAGTGAGTATATGTGGTGTTTGTTTTTCCATTCTTGTGATACTTCACTTAGAAGGGTGGTCTCCGGTTCCATCCAGTTTGTTACAGAAGGTATTAGTTCGCCAGTTTTTATGGCTAAGTAGTACTCCATGATATACACATACCACATTTTATTAATCCACTCACGTACTGATGGGCGCTTGGGTTGTTTCCACACCTTTGGGATTGTGAATTGTGCTGCTATAAACATTCGAGTGCAAGTGTCTTTTTAATAAAATGTCTTTTTTTCCCCTTTGGGTAAATACTCAATAGTGGGATTTCTGGATCAGGTGTTAGGTCTACTTTTAGTTCTTTGAGGTATCTCCATACTGCTTTCCATAGAGGTTGTACGTGTTCGCAGTTGCTTGGGGAATTCAGAGAACTCCACGTCATTTAATGCGGCAGAAGCATTTGGTGCAGAAAGAACGAAGAACAAATGCTACAAAGAAAGATGAGGTTGAGTTGGCGAAGGAATTCCCCTTAAAGGGTCTTTAAGGAGTTTAGGCCTTCTCTAAGATGGGCAGGAAGCCAGTGGAGGGTGCTCAGCGGGAGATGAATTCATGTAGATGAAGTAGATTCACATTTTACAAAGATTGCTCTGTTTGTAGCGAGTCAGACTGAAACAGGACAAGAGTGGAGACAGAAAGACCAGGGGCAAAATGCTAGAGGCCTGATCTAAGGCAGTGCCACTGGCAAGAGAGGAAGAAAAAGTACTTGGGAGACAGGAAGTGGAATCATTAGGGCTTCCTGGTGAATGGGGGGAGAAGGGAGAGGGCTGGGTGCTGGGGCCATTCTACAGTGTGGGCACGGTGGGAGGAGGAACAATTTTGATTAGGAAGGACTCTTCTCTTTCTATGCTAGTCTACTTCACGGTGGCAAACCAGGTTTAGGTGAATTGTAAATATTTCGGGGATGCTTTTAAACCCTATTGCTTGGACTTAAATCACCCTAATGTGTGAGTTCCTCTCCTCAGGCAAATATTGCTTCCATCAAGTTTCAAGCGAAGCAAAAGAAAGACGACATTCACCTGTGGCCCTTCAGAAAAGCAAGCCCGCCGCATTACCAACTCTGGTGCCCACAAGGCAAGAAATAATAAACATTCTCCTTTTAATGTAACAAATTTTCCACACCCCACCCTCACCCTAGGCATCTGCACACATAAATCAAAACCCTCTTAAGTCATGGAATGAAAAAAGAAAAAAAAATTAAAGCAAACAAAAAGTGCTTCCTGTGGGGTGAATGGAAACTTTGGCCCAGTTTATTTTCCAGACATGAAAAGTAGTTCTGAATATTTAAAACCACAAGTAATTGTATTCTTGACTAAGATTCTCGAAAAGGCAAAGCATGGCAAGGATCACATATAGGGGGCTTTGAAATAAAACACCGTTTACATAGAAGCAAGCTCTGCCCCACTTTTAGATCAGTTACCGCCAAATGTCCTATAAACCGAGAAGCGAGATGGTTGGGAAAAAACAAACAGATTCATATCAAATAAAAACACATATAAGCAGTTGAACTAAAGCTGAATTCAACCATAACTTGGGCAACTCTTCTCCCCTTGAGATAGAAACATTGCACCTGAGTTTTATTAGGAAATCGTTTTTGCATTCCATATTTTGGAACTAAATTAGGACCTAAGTACTCTTCTTCCATGAATATGAGACCAATAATAATAATAATAATAATAATGTTACTCATAATTTCTGACCAGATAAATGAGGACTAATATGTACTTGTAGTGTGGTAATTAAGAGCATAGAGTCCAGAGTTTCATTGGGTTTGATCTAGCTCCATCACTCATTAGCTATGTGACCCTGAGCAAATTACTTAATCTCTCTCTCAGTTTCTTCATCTATGAAATGGGAAGAATAACAGGATCTACCTCGTAGAGTTGCTGTGAAAAATGAATGAGATAGTGTATGTGCAGCACAATGTCTGGCACACAGCATGTACCCAATTAGTGCTCATGATTAGGTTCCTGCCTTGTGTCCCTCTCTGTGCAACAGCCGTGGAGCTCTAGCATTTGTGGCAGCTTTCATCCCCATACTTAGTTCCAGAGCTAGATCATGATTAGGTTAAAAAAGTCAATTATTTCTCCATTGGGCGTCTGTTTGCTGGAAAAAGACTCCAGCATAGTGCCAGTGGGTCTGGAAGCATCTCTTCTTGATGCAAGAGGTAGCAGGGTGGGGGAGGGGGAGGTTGCAGTGAAAAGGAAAGGGAGGAAAAATCAGGGGAGCAAGTTCCCAGGGGTCCTGGAGGCCTGGTCTCTGCTGCTCAGCCTAGCTCAGTCCCTCAAATAGCTTCTTTCACACCCATTGCTGAGACTCAGGAGGCCTATGAAAGGTACCTAGGGGAAGCCCTGGCAGCTGGGGAAATCACTGCAGGATCAGCCTCCCCCAGGCCTTTTGAAACCTGTGGCTCTAGTCAAGTATCCCTAATTGCTGTTCTAAAGCCCCAGGCCTGAATTCTGCTCCAGACTGGACATTTTGGACTTACACCTTGGTGGCCTTGCCCAGCTGATTTCAGCTTCTTACCTAGATGTTATCTCTGCAGGCAGAGGGCCGGTCACTGCCTGGAAGTGCAGCCTGGACCCAGCATTCTGGAAGCTGGTTCAGACCTCTGGGTTGTAAGGATCCGCAGACTTTGGCACGAGTGGTTCTCCCTGCTTTGGTTAAGAGTGAGGGCTCTGGAGCCAGACTCTCAAAATTCTAGCACTGACACTTACTAACTATATGACTTGGTCCAGGTACTTTACCTCTCTGTGCCTCAGTTTTCTCATCTGTACAATGGCATATTAGTGGTTTCCATTGGGATGGCTAAGAGGATTAAGTGAACTAGTAGTTGTATATAATAGTATAAATATATATATACCAATAGTAACCATTTAAATACATGTAAAACAGTATATGTGTAATATTAGCTGTATTCATAATATATTTTATACATATTAAGTATATTATTTTACATTTTTACACATTTTGCATTAAGATGTATTATTTCATATAAAACATTGAAGTACATATAAAAATAATTATATTGTTATTGTTATTATTATTATTGTTACTTTATCTCTTCTTTGCAGGGGTGGAGAAAGCATGGCAGGCTTTTTCAATGTTCTTGTTTTCATCTGAGCCTGTAGGTGTGGAATGCCTGGTTTCTACAGGATGCTGCAATATGTGGAACAGGGTTTATGTTAGTTTAAAACTGGCCCCATCATTTGGAAAATTACGATTTACCATGAATGCCATGTAAATATTACTTCCTGGATTCCTATGATGCACCTGTTTCAGATTTCTTCATTTGATTTTTGTAACAATTTTATTTATTTCTTGTCCTATTTCAAAGGCTTTCACACTTCTGGAGCAAACAGGAAAAGATAGAAATGTGTCAAAATATATGTATTATTCATCATGTGGGTATTTTTAGATCCTCTTATATCTAATAGCTATTGACTAGGAGAAGTAAGGTGGTTCTAAAAAAAAAAAAAATAGGCATTGTCTCTTTAATGAGAATAAGAGTAGAGTTTTCTGCTGTCTCCAGAATCATCAATAATCTATGGATTAAGCATTTAACCCCCAAAGCAATAATGGCTTCTGTTAGCCAATGACATCAAAGAAAGACACCCCCTTGAGTTGGTGGTAAATGTGACACTACATCAGGTCCCAGAAAACCCACTTCCTTTCCAGCAAATAGAAAACAACCAAGAATGTGAATTCACTGTCAGCTTTGAACACTGAACAAGAGGATTATATTTGTTTCTGGCAAACATGAAGTCAGACTTCTGGTGTTTCTTTCTCTTCTGCTTCCAAATTGAAGTTGTAGCAGGTAAGTGGCCTATTGAATATTACTTAATTAAGTTATAATTCAAGTGAACATTAAGGAAAATCAAAGGTAGAAAAATTTGGCACCAGAAAGAAAGTGTTTTTTTTTTTTTTTTTGAAAGTAGGAACAATTTCAGAACAGCCCAAGTACATGGCCAAGGGCACCATGCCACTCATGTCACTGTGGATGGCATTGAGTTTGCATTGCTGCCTTTGATACTGTGTTTTAAGATGAAAAAAAATGTTTCATCAGACCATTAAATTTTAAAATTACCTGCTTGGAGTTACCTGTCAGTGGATGAAGTAGCAGAATGGCTTACTGTTCTTAGAGAAAGATGAAAGGCAAAATGACTTGTGTCAACAGAATGAAAATTAAATAGCCCTGGCATTTAGACTGGGAATTCTTTTCTGTGGTAGAAAATAAAATGGAAGGGCTTTGAAAAGAAGGATTTGATTTTAATCTTACTGGTATGGTCTGTCGTCTGAAATGCCCAGGCTGCCATAGAGTTTTTATTGACAGTAAGTATCAGGGTCTCCCCTGAAAGGCCAAGGAGGAGTGGGTGATGTAAAAATACTTCCTAGCCCTTGTATACATTAAAATAAATCATTCGGGAATCCTTGATTCTTTCTTGTGGATGGTACACGTCAGACTCTGTATGAACAGTTTAAATAATGCTACCTACAGTGTAAATTGATATACGTGTTTCTGCTGCTTTTTATTCTGTGCATTTTTGTATTACTTTTATGTTCTCTTTGAATCAGAGCCCTGTTCTTGAGGCTAGAAGAAGCAAAATGAGGTTATATTAAGTGGGGAAGTTCTATTAACACTAACAGTGAAGGCAGAACTTTTAGCTACAATCTCATTTAGGAGTAAAATTTTCAGAGGTATAAAAAATAGACTTTGCTTATTTTTATAAAAAATTAAAAGACAAAATTAAAATTGATCAGATGTTTGATCTTGTGCTCGCTCAAAGTGATTCAAATGCTCTTAAGTAAAGAGGAATGAGGAATTGGGGTCTACTTGGAATTAGGAAGGTAAATTAGGGTCCCAAGGAAGTCCTTTAGCAGCATGAATGACATATAAATAGCTTCAGAATTGATATTTGCTCATTCATTCATCCACCCATTCATGCAGCACCGAGCACTGGCTGTGCAGGAGGTGCTGTTCTAGCTGCTATATGTAAGATGATGAGCAGAACCAGGTCAGTCCCTGTTTTCCTGAAGCTAATCAAATGGTAGGGAGAGAGACATTAATCTTGACTAGCCTAGGTGGGTGTGCAGGTGGGGTTGGGGAGCACGATTCATAGAAGTCTTTGCTGTGGAAGTGGCACTTGGGCTGAGATTTGAAGGACAAATAGGAATCAATGGGGAGAATGATATGAAAGTGTGGAAGAACATTCCAGACCATGGAAAGAGTACGTGCAAAGGGCCTGTGGCCTGAGCACAGAGGAGGAAGAGGTTGGGTTTGGTGCAACATTAAGCTAGAAGAAAGCCACACCATTTAGACCACATGAGATGTGCTAAAGATTTTGGATTTTCCTTGAAGAACATTTGTATAAGTCATTGATGGGTTTGTTTGTACTGCTAAGAAGAATTCCATTATACCAAACCAATCTGTACAGTTATGGTGGTAGTATTGTGCCCAGAAGATTAGAATTGGTATTGCTGTTATTTCTGTGGAAGGACAGGCCCAGCCTTAGGTAGGATTACTTCAAGTTGCTAGACCAAGCTGATGAATAATTGTACTTGTGGAATAATATTCATCTTAGATTCTAAATGAGTAAAATCAATGTTCACTCTCATCATGCAGAAAACTATGCCATGTGGCATGCTGTTTGACATGTTGCAAAACTGAGGCATGAGTGGCTGAATGGTGATAATACATCTGCTAAAAATCCTCAAAACATCACCACAATACGTGTATCCAGCACCTATCATTTAAAAAGCGCTAAACACAAAGAGCCAAACCCAAGTAAACTAAGTACTTGCAGGTCCTCTTTGTCATATTTTTAACCCTCCCAACTCTGTAGACTTTCTTATGCCATGAAGATGGAGGTATTCTTGCCATCAGTCGGTGTTTGAAGAATCTCAGACCAGGAAATGCTAAGTGATTTGTTACACGGTAGTTAGTGACAGAACTAAAACTAGAACTCCAACATCCACATTCTTTCCAAACCTTGTTGCAGTTGCAGAGATAAATCTCAAGGGAGAGAAATTCTCATCAACTTTGTTATTTGGTGGGTGAATTAAGAAGGTTGGAAGTCTTGGTGATTTCCAGTCTTGGATGGATCCCAGTGTAAAATTTAACAAAGTCTTGTTCTTTTAATGATTCTGGAACAACAGGAAGCTCTTCATTGTTAAAGGATCTAGGAAAACTGTGAACCTCTAACTGTATTTAGAAGATCCTCTCTGCAGACTTTAATGACAGTGGGGAGCTTGCAAGTGACCTGATGAATTCTGGTTTTAGAAAGTTCTCTGTGAAAGTGTGTGCACCAGAGTGGGCATGACTGCCAGCAGATGGTGTCTGATAAACCTGTATGTCTCCGGATATGGTCAGTGACGAAGTGGGGAAGATACCGCTCAGGGCCACTTGAGACTTGCTTTGCCACCTAGGCATTGAAGCAGGGATTCCTGAATTCCACCCTCTCAGGGAAAACAGCCCGGTGGAGTCTCCAGCATCTTCTCCTCCCAGGTGCTCAGAAAGTCTGTGGGGATGGACCTTCTAGCCCCTCCCAGCCTCTCCAGGACTCTGCATAAATGTATCCTGGCCACACCCCCTTCCAGTATTCATGCTGGATTAAAAGAGGACCCCAAAAGGACCCCAAATGTCAATCTTTTCTTTAGATAGATGAATTCAGATCATGCCCACTCAGCATGATAAGCTTATACTTGATATTATTCTTTCAATATTATGTTTGTTTACTACTTATTTTCCTTTGTTGTTGTATCTTCTTTTTCTCTTTAATTTTTGCTGGCATGATGAAGTTTCTTTTAATTCTCTTCTTTGTCTCTGGTTAATTTGGAAGGTCGATGATACTTCTTAATTTACTATGTCATTATCATGTTCAGAGAATCTTAATTGAATGTCTATTTATTTATAAATAATGACAATGCCCTGGCCTGATGTGCCTAATCCCCATCTCTTGCACTAATATGAGAACGTTCTCTCCTTTCACTCTTACTATGCCCCCAGTTAGTGTACCCTTGCCCCTAAATATTTTCAATGACATCATCATTCTGGACATCTGCTCCTGTCTTGTGATCTCTGTTGTAATCCAATTATCAGAAGACTTTCATTATTTTTTTCAAATACTCCTAACTCTCTGAATTCCAGCACAAGTAAAGATACCTTTCTTTTACCCTGAAGTATTATCGATGAAATTGAATATTTTAGTTTCAAGTTACTAGTAGCACATTCTCATTTCTTGTTAGAAACAAAATGTAGATGTATAAGGAGGACCTAAGTTCTCATCTTTGCTCACTGTAAGATTCATAGTGTTATTTAGTTTTAAAAAACTCACCTCATTATTCATAGTTGTAAACTGAGCACAACCCACAAACTCCTACTACCTCCCTATTCTAAGAATGAGTTTTATATGTAAAATGACTTATTAGACTTTGTAAATTTTAAAAAAAATGTTTTAAAATCATTTGTAGCCAGCAATAACTGAAGAAAAGGTCAAATTTTCTCTGTAAATGGCACCTTTGTGCTACCACTGTTATAATAAACTAAGTCTGCCAAATGACGCTTTTTGGTTGTTCTAAGTAAAATAAGCGTTTTAGCATTTGAAGCCTTCTTACAAAAATTCAAAATTATATTTTGGAAAGTGAAACTTAAATATATAGAGAATATGTAACACAAATTGAAACTGTTAGTCAAAAATGATTTTTTTCCCCACTGCTTTGGCCTGTAAGATTGATCAAAACAGGTGAAGATTTGAAAGTTTAGAGAGAGTCAGAAATTGAGGATATAAACCTCCTCTGGGTCATGCATGACAATGATGCTTGTACCTACTCTGCTTGATGAAAAGCAAAGAAGAAATAAGATGTCCCCAAGCAGGGTAACAGACTCAAGAGCTTTGATTCAGTTAGCCACTGCTGCTGTTAGAATCTGTGGGAGCTATGTTGATGCAGACACAGCATTTTCAATAAGAAATAATGGTTATTTTATTTATTTTTTATTCACATGGTTGTCAGTGTGTAATCGATGGTCATTTAAAGTTAACTTTTTTTAATTTGAGAAATTAAGTCTTTTTTACAGTCAATGTTATGCTCCCCTAGGACTCAGCATCAAAGAACCCATTCATGCAAAACCAACCACAAGACAACAACAATCAACCCACTACTGCATCCACAATTAAAGTTCTGTTTACTTTGTACTCTTTAGGACTAATGCAAAAATCTCATAGAAATGCCTGTTTGCACTTATTTAATTACAATGAAAGTTTCTTGTATATGTGAGTCCATTTCTGTACCTTTCTATAGGCAGATAAGTTATGGGATAAGCATTAAGAATTCAGACTCCATCAGAGCAAGAACCCAGACTCAGCTGCAATTTGAATACATGACATAGCTTAATACACAGTGGTTAATGAATGAAAATGTCTAGGGAAATTAGTGTGTGAAGCACAATGAAAATTCATATCTAAAAATTTTTAAATACTTTTTTTTGGGTATATGATAACCCTTTCAGTTACAGAACATATATGTGGCACTAAGTGAATACTACTTTAAATATTTGGGGCAATCATGTATCCAATACACCCTGAAGGAAAAGAAATATCTGAATATCATTTCCATATCTGGCTTAATCTTAAAAAACTTCTTTTTGTTTCTTTTTTCTCAGCAAGTCTCTTTTGCCTGTATGCTTTAGCTTCTGGAAAATGAGGGGGTAAGACTAGGTCATTGAGAGTCATTAAATGTGTAGACCCTGAAGTCAGATGGTCCAGGTTCTAATTATGCCTCCATTATGGTTCTATAATCTTGGGCCATTTATTCAAGCCT